TGTCCCCACCCCTGGCAGTGTCCCCACCCCCGGGCAATGTCCCCACCCCTCGCAGTGTCCCCACCCCCGGCAATGTCCCCAACCCCTCCGGTGTCCCCAGCCCCGGGGGTCGCTGCGGCTGCTCTCCCCCGAGCCCCTCCCGGGACCTCCCGTGCGGCCTCGGCTGCCGCCACCGGGGACCCCGGGACGGCACCGGCGACACCCGCGGGGCGCGGCGGCCACCGCGACAACGCCACGACGACCCCGGGAGGGGACAGCGGCTGTCGCTAGGGGTGGCCCGGGCGGGGGTCGCGCTCTTCCTCCTCCTCCTCCTCCTCGGGGGGCTCCGCTCCTTCCTCCGCCGCTCCCGGGACCTGCTGCGCCCGTGGCTGCGGCGGCGGGCGAGCCACGCCACCGGCACCGGAGGCGGCGGCGGCCACCGGGAGGAGGAGGAGGAGGAGGAGGTGACACGTTTGGTGGCCGTGGTGGCCGAGGAGGAGCCGGAGCCGTTCCGGGGGCTCGGGGTGCAGCCCGCGGCCAGCGACACCGAGCTGAGGCGGGCGTGCCGGAGGCTGGCGCTGCTGGTGGGTGTCGGGGACACTTTGGGGACACTTTGGGGACATCCTGGGGACAATTTGGGGACAATTTGGGGACGCTGAGGGTCGTCGCTTGGCAGGTGCACCCCGACAAGAGCCGCGACCCCCGGGCGGAGGCGGCGTTCCCGGTGCTGCGGGAGCGGCTGAGCAGCCCCGAGAGGCGGCGCGAGTTCCAGGCGTGAGTTTGGGGCGAAAAATCCCAAATTTGGGGGTGTAAATCCCATCTCTGGGGTGTAAATCACAAATGTTGGGGTGAAAATCCAATATATTGGGATGTAAATCCCGCGTTTTGGGGTGGGATGGGAGCAGCTGAGCAGCCCCGAGAGGCGGCGCGAGTTCCAGGCGTGAGTTTGGGGTGAAAAAGCCCAAATTTGGGGGTGTAAGTCCCATTTTTGGGGCGAAAATCACAAATGTTGGGCTGAAAATCCAATATATTAGGATGTAAATCCCGGGTTTTGGGGCGGGATCGGAGCGGGTGAGCAGCCCCGAGAGGCAGCGCGAGTTCCAGGCGTGACTTTGGGGTGAAAAATCCCAGATTTTGGGGTATAAATCCCATTTTTTGGGGTGGCAATGCTGGGTTTTCGGGTGCCAATCCCATTTTTCAGGGTGCCAATCCCAGATTTCGGGGTGTAATTCCCATTTTTTGGGCCTCAGGAAGCAGCTGGCATGGTCAGAGCTGGCGCGGGCGCTGGGCGCATTTTTGGGGCTGTAATTCCCATTTTTCAGGGTGCCAATCCCATTTTTTTGTATAAATCCCTTTTTCTGGGGTGCCCATCCCATTTTTAGGGGTGCCCATCCCATTTTTTGGGGTTTCCATCCCATTTTTCAGGATGCCAATCCCATTTTTTGGGTTCTAATTCCCGTTTTTTGGGCCGCAGGAAGCAACTGGCACGGTCAGAGCTGGTGCGGGCACGGGACGTGTTTTTGGGGCTGTCATTCCCATTTTTCGGGGTGCCCATCCCATTTTTCAGGGTGCCAATCCCATTTTTTGGGGTGCCCATCCCATTTTTCAGGGTTCCCATCCCATTTTTTGGGATGCCAATCCCATTTTTGGGTTCTAATTCCCATTTTTTGGGCCGCAGGAAGCAGCTGGCACGGTTGGAGCCGGCGTGGGTGCTGAGGATGTTTTTGGGGCTGTCATTCCCATTTTTCGGGGTTCCCATCCCATTTTTTGGGGTGCCCATCCCATTTTTTGGGCTCTAATTCCCGTTTTTTGGGCCGCAGGAAGCAGCTGGTGTGGTTAGAGCTGGTGCTGGGCGCGTTCCTGGCCCGGCTGCAGGAGGAGCTCAGGGACGCCATGGGCTGCACCCGCTGCGGGGGTGCCACAGGTGGGGACACCGAGGGGACATTGGGGACACCGAGGGGACATTGGGGACACTGTGGGGACATTGGGGACACCGAGGGGACAGTGGGGACACTGGGGACACCGAGGGGACATTGGGGACACTGGGAACACTGTGGGGACACTGGGGACACCGAGGGGACACTGGGGACACCGAGGGGACATTGGGGACACTGTGGGGACATTGGGGACACCGAGGGGACATTGGGGACACTGGGGACACCGAGGGGACATTGGGGACACTGAGGGGACAGTGGGGACACCGAGGGGACATTGGGGACACTGGGGACACTGTGGGGACATTGGGGACACTGGGGACACCGAGGGGACATTGGGGACACCGAGGGGACACTGGGGACACTGGGAACACTGTGGGGACATTGGGGACACTGTGGGGACAAATGTGCCCATGCCCTCAATGACCCCAATGTCCCAAATCTCCCCAGTGTCCCTGGGGGTGTCACCGTGTCCCCAATGTTCCTGGTGTCCCAAATATCCCTGGTGGTGTCCCATACCCAATGTCCCCAGTGTCCCCAATGTCCCCATGTCCCCATGTCCCCAATCTCCCAATGTTCCCAATGTCCCCAGTGTCCCCAATGTCCCAAATCTCTCCAATGTCCCCAGTGTCCCCAATGTCCCCATGTCCCCAATCTCCCAATGTTCCCAATGTCCCCAGTGTCCCCAATGTCCCCATGTCCCCCATGTCCCCTCGTGTCCTGGGGGTGGCCTGGGGTGTCCTGGGGTGGCCTGGGGTGTCTTGGGGATGTCCTGGGGTGTTCTAGGGGTGTCTCGGGGTGTCCTGGGGGTACCCAGGGGTGTCCCGAGGTATTCTGGGGGTACCCAGGGGTGTACTGGGGTGTCAGGGGTGGCCTGGAGTGACCTGGAGCTGGACACCAGTGGTCAGTCCTTGGGGATGGGATGGTAAGGAGCGACCAAGAGTGCCCGGGCAGTGCCCAGGTACATCCAGGTGTACACAGGTGTGCCCTGGCAGTGCCCAGGTACATCCATGTGTACCCAGGTGTGCCCAGGGGGTGCCCAGGTACATCCAGGTGTGCCCAGGCAGTGCCCAGGTACATCCAGGTGTACCCAGGTGTGCCCAGGGGGTGCCCAGGTACATCCAGGTGTGCCCAGGCAGTGCCCAGGTGTATCCAGCTGTGCCCAGCTGTGCCCCAACCCCTTTTCTCTCCCTCCCCAGGGCCTCCCCCAAGGGCAGCGCTCCCTCCCCCAGCGCCCCCCAGGATTTCCTGGCCCACCTTTTCCAGGGACCCCCCCAAGGCCAGGGGGGTCCCCCCAAGGGGGACACGAAGCACAAGAGGAGGAAGAAGGGGCGGCGGCCGCAGCCGCGCTGAGGAAAAACCCCCCCAGACCCTCACCCCAAAAAACCAAGAACCTCAAAAAAAAACCCCAAAAAACCTAAAAACTCCACAAAAAAAGGGCTTGGAATTTTTTAAAAAATCTATTTTTTTTTTTTGACTTTATTTGGTTTTTTAAAAATAAAATCGAGTGGTGTTTTTTGTATTTTAAATTTAAAAAGAGGGGAGTGGAAATTTGAGGGTCCCTAAATCACGATATGGCGGCAGCACTTCCGGTCTGCGCAGGAATAAGATTGACGTCACTGACGCCGTTGTGGGCGCTGCCATGTTGGTGGGTTCTATGAGGGTGCAGAGCGCGGCGCCATCTTGAGTGTGGGCAAGGCGGCGCTTCAGGCGCCGGTACCGGGATTGCGGCGGGGCCGGAGCAACCGGGAACGACCCGTGGGGGGAGGGTGTGTCCGGTTAGTGCGGGAGATGCGGTTTGGAGCGACGGGGAAGCGGCCGCTGCCGTCACGGAGGTTGCCCGCAACCATCATGGCGGGCACGACATCCATCATGGCGGCCGCCACGCCCAAAAGAGAAGCTCATTTGAATAATTTGAATTAATTGAATTATTTGAGTTATTTTAATGATAACAAGAGGGGGTTGTGGCTCAGGAGCCGCGGGAAGCGGAGGCTGTGCTGGAGATTGGAAGTGTTTTTAATGAGAAATAGAAAGATATGCAGTAGTACTAAATAAAGTTATTAATAAATTAAGTGATAATAATTTATTAATAAGGGAATAAAGCAGCAGCCCTTGGGAGCAGCGACTGGAGAAGGGAAAGGAGTGGGAAACGCAGGAATGTTTTAGAAAATGGCCCCAAATTTGTGCTCTGCACCACTGGGTGAAGCACTAATGAATGAATTTATAACAAAGAATTAATGCAAAGCATTTAATGCACAAAAACGGTAATTAAATAACGCAAATATAAGCAAATTTTCGCTAATAATTAAACAACAATGAAGTTAAATCATAACAAAGGCTATATTATAATAGATAAAAGTACTGCAAAGAACATAACAACACTATAAGCAATAAACACAAAATAACCAGAGGTAGTAAATAATAAATATCTAATTTTATCCAGGAAGGTTAATAGTTTAATGAAGGGAGATAATTTTTAATAATTAATTATACCCCAGTCCCTCAATGACCCCGCTCCGCTCCTAGCCCCACCTCCCGGAAGTCCGCGTTTCCCGCCCTCTCTTCCCATTGGCTGTATCCCCGCACCTCCCTATTTCCATTGGTTTATCCGCACGTCAGTCAACATGTCCCCGCCTCTATTCCCCGATAAGCCAATCACCGGCGGGCGCTGCCGGCAGCGCTGACCAATGGCGAGCGGCGGATTTGGGCGGAACGGCGGGGGACGCGCGGCGCTGATTGGTGGGAGCGGCGGGAGGGGCGGGGCGGGCGCGGGGGTGCCAAGATGGCGGCGGAGCCGGTGGAGCTGCACAAGCTGAAGGTGCCGCTGGGAGAGGGAACGGAGCCGGGAAAACCGCGGGGAGAGAACGGGGACAGAACCCGGCAACCGCCACTGCCCGCGGGGGCAGCGCGGGGACTGCGGCTGGGACGGAGGGAGCGCGCGGGGGAACGGCGGGAAACGGGCCGGAAGCTCGGAGGGGTCCTGAGGGAGCTCTGGGGGGCTCTGAGGGTCTTGAGGGGGCTCTGAGGGAGTTCTGATGGAGTTCTGAGGGTCTGAGGGGCTCTGAGAGTCTGAGGGGGTTCTGAAGGAGCTCTGGGGGGCTCTGAGGGTCTGAGGGGCTCTGAGAGTCTGAGGGGGTTCTGAAGGAGCTCTGGGGGGCTCTGAGGGTCTTGAGGGAGCTCTGAGGGGCTCTGAGGGAGTTCTGAGGGGTTCTAATGGAGTTCTGAGGGGCTCTGAGAGTCTGAGGGGTTCTGAGGGTCTGAGGGGTTCTGAGGGAGCTCTGAGGGGTTCTGAGGGAGTTCTGATGGAGTTCTGAGGGGGTTCTGAGGGACTCTGAGGGTCTGAGGGGCTCTGAGGGAGTTTTGAGGGTCTGAGGGGTTCTGATGGAGTTTTGATGGAGTTCTGAGGGGGCTCTGAGGGGTTCTGAGGGAGTTCTGAGGGAGCTATGAGGGTCTGAGGCGGCTCTGAGGGGTCTGAGGGGTTCTGATGGAGTTCTGAGGGGCTCTGAGAGTCTGAAGGGCTCTGAGGGGGGTCTGAGGGAGCTATGAGGGTCTGAGTGGGTTCTGAGTGGTTCTGAGAGGTTCTGA